AACAACAACAAAAAAAAAATTAAAAAAAATTAATGATTCCATGATCTCAGGGAGGACAAACAATGGTTGATCCCAAAAGCCAACATTTGACATTTTAAATTTAAATTAATTAAAATTAATTTTAAATATCTGATATTTTAACAGAAATATCCAATATTTTAAGACGAATTTTTAATAATTGAGTCCCTTCCGCTCAGGATTATTTAAGTGAGGCTTAAGTGGACGAAAATTATCAAAAAATCCGATTTTATTTTTAATTTTTTTTTTTTTTATTTTCCCCCATCTCTTCCACGCTGCAGAAATGATGAGTTTGAGAACGTTCAGAAAATATCGCGAAAAAATTTCTAAAATATTTAGGAAAAAAAAAAAAAATCACATTTTGAGGAAAAATTCAGCATTTTGGCATCGACAGGAATGGAATGTGTTTTTTCTTCAAAATTTGGGTTTTTTTCCTGTTAAATCCAGATTATTCTGGGATGTATCCGTAGGAACTGGATGAAAAAGGCTCCAAAATTGGGGCAGAAATGGCAAAAATTTCCATAAAATTGGAATTTTCCCTAAATTTTTCCCTAAAAAAAAAAAGGAAAATTTCGTGTTTAACCCAAAGATCCTCGCTCGGTTCTGCCATAAAATCCCGAATTTTTTTCCATCGTTTATTTCCCGTGGTTTGATCAGAAATTATCACTGAGCGTTTCCCAGGATCCATTTGGGAAATTGCAGATTTTTTTTTTATGAAAGCTCTGATTTGTCCCACAAAAATTGAAAAATTTGGAATTTTTTTTTTATTATTATTAAAAAAAAAAAAAAATCAGGGATATTCCTGAATATTCCTGATTTCTCTAATGAAACCAAAAGGAAAATAAAATAAAATTAAATCAGGGATATTCCTGAATATTCCTGATTGCTCTAAGGAATCCAAAAAGAAAAAATTAAAATTTAAAAAAAAAAAAATCAGGATATTCCTGAATATTCCCGATTGCTTTCAGGAGTTAAGAAGGAAAAAAAAAAAAAAAAAAAAAAAAATTAAAAATTTGCAAATTTACAAATTTTTGGGTTTTCTGCAGCCGTGACTTTGCTCCAAAGGGTGAAAGGAAATGAAAAATGCAAAAATTCTATTTCTGTGGAATTTATTTCCTATTTCTACTCAGTTTATTTCCTGTTCCTGAAGAATTTAATTCCTGATTTTTTGGGGTTTAATTCCTGATTTTTTGGGGTTTTTTTTAGTTTAATTCCTGTTTTTTTGGAGTTTAATTCCTGATTTTTTTTGGAGTTTAATTCTTTTTTTTTTTTTGGTTTTTTTTTAGTTTAATTCCTGATTTTTTTGGAGTTAAATTCTTTTTTTTTTGTTGTTGTTTTTTTTTAGTTTAATTCCTGATTTTTTTGGAGTTTAATTCCTGATTTTTTTTTTGGTTTTTTTTTAGTTTAATTCCTGGGTTTTTTTGGAGTTTAATTCCTGATTCTTTTGGAGTTTAATTCCTGATTCTTTTGGAGTTTAATTCCTGTTTTTCTTGGAGTTGATTTCCTTTTTTTTTAACCAAGGAAAAACGGAATTTTCTGACAATAAAACCACAGCAGCTCTCCCGGGTTGAAATGCTGGAGCAGGGGCTCGGATAATTTCATTTTTTTTTTTAATAATAATAATAATCAATTTTACCTCTGGTACTAATTACAGAGATAAAATGGATTTGATATTTTAGATGACAGCAATTAAGGTTATGCTAATTTTGTGATTAGGATCTGATTGCCTCAGGAGGCCTCTGCAGTT